CTGTTCACAAAAGTGTTTAGGAAATTAGTAAACAGCTAACTAATTCTGTTAGTATTTTTCATACCTTGGATCTAGCGAGGCTAAAACAAATATATCAATACTGATTTCTACTATGTTTTAAAAATGTGTAAAGTCTACCAAATAAGGATTCCCAAATAAATTATAATTACTATTTGAGGATCTTTTAAAATGTACTGTAATGGGCTTTTCATATAGTGCAATGTAAAGTCATATAAGGTTAAGTGTAATCAAGCATCAGATGTGTTATCATCACAGCTCCTGAAAAAAACTATGAATAGAAAACTCATTTTTTCCCGAAACTACTGCCTTTTCTCTTCTTCTTAAGGAAGGGTTATGATTAATATTGAAGTAAGGTATTTTAGAATATAAATGTCACATGTAAAGTTATGCATTAAGTTCAGAATGAACTTTAGGTTGAAAACTGGAATATTTTCATTGTTATGAATTTAAGGTCTATAATATTGTTTTATATTATGCTTGGAAAATACAAAAAAGATAGATTGCTTATTATTGTACTTTTCTAGGTCATCCTAGCATTTCTATTATAAGATCAGAGTTTTCTATATAGTGTGAAGACAAAGAAGCATTTTATATCTAGACATGCACATATTCGTAAGGAGGAAACAGCTCAAAAATTTCAACTTCAATTGAGCTTTCCTAATGGGTAAGAGATAAAAGAAGTTCTGAAAGAAAGAATTTCATTTAACAAAGCAAGAAGTAAACTCATATTCCTAAACATAATTTTATGCCACATACAAATATAATAAATCAAACCACATTCTCCAACTTGAAAATCAAACACTGTCCCCAAAAAGCTAATCCATAATCTAAAACCACTGATCTGATAGCAGCTAAGTAGACCAAAATATGGTCTATTTTTCAACTAGTGCTTTAAAAATAACAATTAAATTTCATTGAAATTTCAGTAAGAATCCTAAGTTGAAGAGGCTGTCATAAGATAAAAAAAGATAATGACAGTTTCCAAGTAAATAATTTCAGAGGAATCCATGAATCTCCAAACAGAGAAGCAGTTTTCTTAAAATATTCATTCAATAGACTGTTTACAGGCAGTGATTATTTAGTGGTATAAAAGTCTCTTTGGTGTCATTAACAGGCCTCTGAATTAAAAGATATCCTATTGACCTAAATAATTTCCTCCTACCAAAAAGACACAGGTCCTATTTGTCCCTTGTTTATTAAGCAGAGACATGAGAGTAAAAACAGAATGAAGCTTATCTTAACAATTAAGGCAGGGCTATACTCAGTGAAAAACCAGAATCTGGCCCCTTATGATTTATTTGGATTGCAAAATGACTCCATTTACCTAACGCCTATACATCAAGAGATAACATAGATTAGACCAGGGAAGCTAAGAGAAACTATGTTAGTCATGTCTGGGTTCCATTCTTTCATCATATCAAGATCCTACCTGGAAAACACCTGAGAAAGAAAGGATCTGATAATGGCAAAAGTAAAACCATAATACATGCATACACTTTCAACTACTTGTTATATAGGTCAGTCTAACAAATCTGTAGATGTAGTTGGTATCACTATTATAAATTATTTCCTATTAAGATTTGTATTTAAAAATCAATGCTGCCTTTGGTGGCTCACATGTCTGCAAAAATATAATTCTACCTACTTTTTAAATCTCAACATCAAAGAACATGATTTAAACTAGAAATAAACTATTGTCTTCTAATAAAGACATGAGCATTTGGCAAACTAACGTTAGGACTCTGGTAAATAAATTTTCTTTATAAATGTCTACATATGCTGTTGATTGTATGCAAAACTCCTCTCTAAATCACTGATATGGTGTGCCTGTTTCAGGATTTTGAATCAGTAGGACAACTTTTACAATATTAACAAAGCTGTGTTTTCCATGTCTGAAAACATATTCTGGTACTTTGGAAATATACATTCTTCCAGGTTATTTGTGGCCAAATTATTTACATGTACCAATTACCCTAGGTCAAGTCCATAACCATACTTCCTACAATGAATAAAGGAGTCCAACTCATGGAGGACAAAATGCAGACAGAAGATTCTTCTCTACTCTTCTACTTAAAGTTTAAGCATCATGGCAGAGTTACCCAAGCTAATATTTGCTTTAACATTCACTACTGGGAGACTTCAAGGAGAAAAAACTAAGGAATAGTTTTCATCACTATCTTGTGATTTCCTTTATACTTTCTTATTCCAAGCCAATTTCAGCAAAGCTAATTAAACAAAGAAAGATTCTTCTTTGCTTTAAAAACAAGTTTTCACCCCCTATCTATGTATAGCTTCATCTTACTTTAACATACTTACCCAGGAACCCAGGAACATGATGGGCATTTCTTACCGAGGTCATGTTTTCCTTGTTTGGTTTTAGATCCCATACAAAATAACTAATGCAAGTGGTAAAGGGGAAAATGTACAACTTATGCTTAAATGTAGCTATAATTCTCACATGTTTTACATATGACTATAAAACATTTTTTACACCAGGGACTCTACCACTTAATGTTGTTTCCACTTCAAGATGAAAGTTTTGATTACCTGTAAAGCATTTTCGCAAAGTGGTAGCTATACTCATATGTACTTTAAATAAGGAAACAGTTTAAATCAGTGTATCAATATAATAAAAAAGCACAAGACATGCAAAGCATATTTAAAGCCTAATGCAACACAGCACAATGAAACCCCTGGTTATACAGAGGTAAATAACCATACATTTGGTTATAACTGGTGCAATTTTTATGGTTGTGATCATGAAGCGGTCAACAGATTGGAGTATTGTTTATCACTGAATGCCATCCTCTCACCTTGAAAAGGATATTGCATAAACAATTTTTGTGGTTTTAGTGATGGAAAACACAGTACTAATAAATGTGAGAAAGCTTCAAAACATGCTTGTCAACAGGCTTTCTTCCATCATAATATGTGGTCCATGAAAAATATTGGCAAAAGAAAGCATAACCTCAGAACTCATATGAAAGCGCTGTGCATATGTCAGGTGTTCGTACGTATGCTGAATTAAATCAATAATGACCATAAACTAAGTAGTAGTACTGATTTTGAAGCTACAAACTTAAACATAGAATTTTCATGTGTTTTAAAAAACATTCAATTTCCATATTTTGAATAAAGAAATTCATAGTAAGCTCATCTAATATTTACCCAAACTTTTGCATTTTAATATAAAAAATGAGTATATGAAGTGTATATTTCTATGGTCACTTCAAGAGGAAACAATATGAGAATAAATGAAAATGAGTTCTGCACAGAGATTAAGTAATAATCAAAAGGTCAAGGAATAAAAGCTTCATATAATCTTCATTATATTGAGTCTCATTTACACAAACAACAACAGCAACAGAGCCAAAGATACTAACAAAATCTTATCATTAAAACCACCACATGATTATTCATATATTATCATCTGTGCTTTGCACTCAGACTCAGTTATATATACATATTTATTAGTATATAAGCCTTTAGGTATTTGAAAAATAACACTAAATGTACACCCTGCATTTCCTAAAGCATTTTACTGTGAACAATAACTTGAGTGCAAAAAGGAGAAGAGATTCATCAGAATTTCAAAGTAAAACCCTATGCATCACCTAATTCTATTGAAAACGACGCTCATGGCAAATTCCACTTATCACTTGAAACATATTTCTGCCCTTGGATACCAGAAGCAAATTAAAAAACATGCTGTTGCTCTGCTCTGGCAGAGCTGCAATGTGTTATGTTTAAATAGTTCAGCATTCAGATTTAGCTTGCTTAAAGTACAATATAGAATCAATACAATTGTAGAATTTAGGGCAAAATGCATTAGTAATTGCCAGTGGAATTACTGTCCTGAAATGACATTAATAGGATAGCCAAATAACTTTGGAATATATTTTTTCAATGAAGATTTGTTTTATTCATGAGTCAACTGTATAAATTATATGTATGTTTTAAATGTATGTGCGTGTATATACATATGCATATGTAACATATATACATACATATATACACATATAAAATCACTGTATGTATGTACATACATGCACAAATAAGATGTACACACATATATTGATTTTATGAATTCTAGATATAAAAAGCTTTTTCCTTACAGAAATGTAAAAGATGAATTCCACCATTTCAAAAATATGATTTACAAACAGATTTGATTAAAACTCCTATTAAATGCCCTCCTTTGTAGTTTAAAAAAATTATTTTTAATTATTATGGGTACATAATAGTTGTATATATTTATAGGGTACATGTGATGTTTTGATATAAATATACAATGTGTATTAATCGAATCAGAGTAACTGTGGTTTCCATCACTGCAAGCATTTATCATTTCTTTGTGTTGGGAACACTCCAATTCCACTCTTTTAGTTATTTTAAAGTATTGCTAACTTATTGATTATAGTCACTTTGTTGTGACTCTTTTATATTAACTGAAACTGTACAATAGCAATTATGAAGTAGCTTATGTAGTTTGCATCACATAAAATAATGAACAAACAAAATTACATAATAAAAAATATTGCCAAAAATTTCATGCAAGCAGACACCAGACATGCAGCTTTAATATAAACTTAATTAATGCTGTGACTATGCTATATTTGTATCTTCTCCCTCAAAATACAAAATTTTCATCTAACAAACTGCATTTAAAGTAGAATATCTATAAAATGCTGTCAATTTTTCACAAGTGTACAAAATCTCTGCCTCCAAACCCACTGGATTATCTCATAACTCTTTATCCTTAGGCTACCTTATTTGTAATAATGAAAGTGTCTAATTTCTAATAAGGAACGATTTTAAAATGTATACTAAGTTTGTAAAAATACATATGTAAATCCTAATCTGAATCGTCTATGGGAGTACACGGAGGCTAAAGATCTGAGGTTTGTGTATTTTTATGCAGATAATGCTAAGTTAATTGTTCATTCTGTTGGTACCAGGAAAAAAATCTCCCCACTTACAGATTTGGCAGTGGCAGAAATATACTGGACAACCATCTCACGCTTGGTGGTAAAATCCTTGTTTCGTAAAGGAGCTTTCTTTTCTTCACTAAGGTTCATGTCCTCCTGTAAGAAAGAACATTTACTGTGAGCACGGATAAATTTCTGCTTAAGAGTTTGAAATGTGAAAATAAATATTAATAATTTCTATGTCTTAAAATACTAAGTTATGCTCTGACTAATCACAATAATCCTTTTTTTGGGTATTTCACCATTATTTCTCACTCTAGATACCATGGTCTTGGTAAAGTTTATTGTGTATTCATAGTTCATACCTCTACCTAGGCAACTAATAAACAGAAGGAAAAAATATTTTAAAAACTAGTCCACAGAATAAAGTGGCATTTTATAGAATATACAGGCCTAGCAAAGCTCTTTATTTACCTTGATAGCAAAAACGAACACACACAGTGTTCTAGTACTCTAGCATTTGGAATGTGCTACCTTAGGATCACTATTATCAAGCAAAGCAAATGGAATTTTCAAATTAACAGGGATTTTACATCTATAACATGTCACTGAAGAAAAATTTCACAAAAAGTTACTGGATTTGAAAAAGCAAAAAAAAAAAAGAGTACAAACATAGTTAGCTATATTGGGGTAACAAAAATCAATCACTGGAGGGGAGAAAACTCAGGTGGAAGAACATATTGTTTTGAGGTTCAATAAGCATTAATTTGGTTGGAAATTGACCTTTATTTGTGTGATACACATGCATTTGATATTTTCATTGGACTAATTGTTTTTCTTCATTTTGAAACTCATGTCAACCCTTGCGAGATATGAAGACACTCAGATGATGTCACAAAATCAAGTTGGAAATGAACTGCTTCAAAATACAATAGCAAGTAAACAGTCACCTTACAGAATGAGTGAAATATTTATAACTCCTATGTCTGACAAGGATGTTGTGCCTAGGTATTCAAAGAATTCTTACAATTCAACAATAAAATGACAAATAACCCAGTTACAAATGGACAAAGGATTTGAACAGACATTTTGCTTAAGAAGATATACAAATGACTGATAAGCACATGAAAAGATGCTCAGTATCATTAACCTCTGAGATGCAAATCAAAACCACAATGAGATACCACTTTATGCCCACTAGATGGCTAGGATAAAAATAAAATAACGAAATGTTAATTAATAAATGCTGGCAAGGATGTGGAGAAATTAGAACCCTCACACATTGCTGGTATAGATGTGAAATGATGTAGCCACTCTAGAAAACAGTCTGGCAGTTTCCCCAAAAAGATAAATACAGAATTAGTTACTATAATATATGACCTAGCTTAAATGAACATATGCCCAAGAGAATTGAAAACATTTGTCCACACAAAAACTTGTACATGAATGTTGACAGAAGCTTTATTCATTATTCATAATAGCTAAGGAGTGAAAGCAATCCAAATGTCCATCAACTGATGAATGGATAAACAAAATGCCATATATCCATACAATGGGATATTATTCAGCCATAAAAATGAAGTACAACAGCATGGATGAATCTTGAAATCACATTATGCTAAGTGAAAGAAGACCGTCACAAAACAACTGCATATTGTATGATTCCATTTATATTAAATGTCCAGAATAGGCAAATCTATAGAGAAGAAAATAGATTCGTAGTTGCCAGAACCAGGGAGGGAAATAGGGAGGACTGGTAAGACTGAATATGGGTATATAGAGAGGTATTTTTAAGGTGATACAAATGTTCAAAGTTTGTTGTGATAGTTTCACATTTTGAGTATGCTAAAAACAATGAATTGTACATTTTAAACTAGTAAATGTTATGATATGTGAATAGTACCTCAACTTTTGAAGAAAAAAGTATTTTTATCCCTTTACTCTTTCAGTAATTCTGACCATTCTGAGTTTTTTTAATCAAATAAACTCGTGGGCCAAAGACAATATTAAAATTGTTTTAGGTTGGGGGTGGGGTCAATGCCTGTAATCCTAGCACTCTGGGAGGCTGAAGGGGGGAGATCACTTCAGCTCAGAAGTTCAAGTTCAGTCTGAGCAAGAGCAAGGCCCATCTCTACAAAAAAGAGAAAAAACTTGGCATGTGCCTATAGTTCCAGCTACTCAGGAGGCTGAGGCAAGAGGATCACTTAAGCCCAAGAGTTTGAGGTTGCAATGAGCTATGATGACACCACTGTACTCTAGCCAGGGTGACAGGGTGAAACGGTCTCCAAAATGAAAGGAAGAAAGAAAGGAAGGAAAGAAGGGAGGAAGGGGGGGAGGAAAGGAGGAAGGGAAAAAGGAAGGGAAGGAGGGAGAAACTAAAGATTCATATATGAGAATGTGGAAGACGTCTGTGAAAAGTAGTCAAACTGCATCTATCTATTAGATACCAACTTGAGGGCAGCACCCGTGGCTAGGTGAGTAGGGCACCAGCTTCATGTACCAAGGGGGGTGGGTTCAAACCCAGCCCCAGCCAAACTGCAACAAAAAAATAGCTGGGTGCTGTAGTGGGCACCTGTAGTCGCAGCTACTCGGGAGGCTGAGGCAAGAGAATTGCCTAAACCCAGGAGGTAGAAGTGGCTGTGAGCTATGACACCACAGCACTCTACCAAGGGCAATAAAGTGAGACTCTGTCTCAAAAAAAAAAATAGATACCAACTTTATCAACAGCAAAAATCTCATGATCTGTATGTACAACCATTGGATTGACTCCTCCTATAATGATTCACCCATAGTAAATACCTATGTATTTTGCATTTATACATAATCTCTCTCCCTAATCTCTTCCATTACTATTTCTACTCTCACCTTTTCTATCTTAATTCGTATTTCTCCTTTGTATATCTTACTTCTTTAATGACTTATTAGAAGGCAAAAGATACCTTTTTCCTCTCTCTCTCATAGGCGCTAGCACTGTTGAATCAATGTAGAATCACAGAAACTAGGCTGAATAGCACTTGTAATGCAGCCCACAGATGCTCATCTATGTTCTACATCTATTTCAAATGACAGGAAACTCACTACCTCCTCAGGCATTCCACCGTATCTTCAGGGCAGTTCAATTTTTGCCAAGTTTTTCCTTAGAGGACTAGACATGAAATATGCACAACAAAATACTAATCACGTGTTAAGGTGGAAGGACCCATTCTTTATTTTTTCTTCTCTACTTTTAAAATTTTTAATCATTTATTTACTAGACACGTACTATATACCATGAACTATGTAAGACTGGCTAGGAGAGTGCAAATTTGATAGACTGCTTTAATACTCAAATATTATTATTTATGAAGCACTTAGAACAATGCCTAATACTAGTAAATGTCATATATATCTGTTGAATTAATAATTCATGGTCTAGTAGGACCAAATAATTATAATAGAGGCATGTATATGACTCTTTGAAAACACAGAGGACAGATAGAAAAGTCAGAGAACTCTTCACCAGGATTTGGACCTCAAAGGATGAGAAAAATTTGACTAAAAGCAAGGAAACCACCTAGGAGACTCCAATGGTCATCTGTCATTTCTGGCTGTCCAGCACCACTTGAACATGTTCTCTACATTTTCATGTATCTTCACATTGGTGGCTCCACCTCATAAAGGCATAATCTATAAAAACTATATTTGTCAGTCTCCCTTATAACTAGACTACAGGTGTGTGGCTTAGTCTTCAAGAATAAAATGCATTTATAGGAGGTACAGATTCGGAAGTGAACTATGTGAGGAAGTAGGCCACAGATAGGCCATCCATTTTGCTGGCCTGAGGGGCAACAGAAATGAGGTAGTTACGGAATTGATGGCAATAGCCGCATCTTTTCACTAAGACAGTTTGACCAAGTGATTCTGGGGTAACAACAACTCTAATTGTACGCTACAGGTTTCAGTTGTGTGATTCTGGAAGTTATTCATGTAATGTCACCTGGCACCTGGACCCTGTTTCTGCAACTGCCCTGAATCAAGAGCTACCTAATATCCCTTAATAATATATTCTATCTTAACTGGCCAGAGAGGATTTTCTTATGTTCATTAATTTGGACCACAGAAGTAATTCAAGTGACTAGTCATAAGAGTTGAACTAAGAAGGAATACAGTAAGACTGGACAGAAAGAAATTAATTCCAGAGCCATCCAAATGTTATTTGAAGGCAGTATTCTTTCCTTTAGGCTAAAATATTACCTAACTAGCTTCAACTTATTTTCATGTAATACGGCTTAGTATCCATGTCTCTCTCTCTCTCAAATACTCTGTGGTTTGACAAATGCAAAAAAGGAAAGGACTTGTGCCACCTTCATCTTGAAATACTATACTTTTGTTAATTCATCCTCTGATTTTATCATCTTATTGGCCAAGCACATCATTCTTCTAACTCATACAGTCTTTGTTTTCATCAAAATCCCTTAAGTTCTGCTCACATATGCTAGGCTATGTTTATTACCACAAAACATTCTGGTTAAATTTCAGTCTCCCATAAAAGCAGTTAGGTACCTGTACCCACAAGTAGAATCAACTCTGGAACACTGACAAGACTGAGTGTCTATATTGGTGTACTTCAAAGCCAGGCCTAAAATTCTGGTAGGGCCAACCTTTGTCAGTTTCTAGGTAATATACTCTCCTTCTAGTGACATTTCTACTTTACTAGGTACCCCCATGGGATTTTTAATGGTATACACTGCTGAGATCATGCCATCAATGAAGATTTATTTTGTAGGGAGGTAGGCAGTACGTTAAGGGCAATGTAAGATTATACACCTCAGAGGAATGTTGTCAAGATTGAGTGTGGTCATGCATGTCATGCCTGGTGTATATTAACTAGCCTTCAAAAAATACTACCTATTAAGAGTTGGTATAATCTCCCCAGCCTCGTTGTTTTAAACTTTTCATCTTAGCCCTTATGTTTTAATAATGCTAGGCTGTTTATAGTTTTGCAACATATACAATGGTGGTCCACACTTCATTACTCTTCACGAAACTGTTCTCCTTGCCTGAAATATTGTCATCATTACCACCCTTTCTCTCTGTTAACCATCTCCCCTCATCCCTTGCCAAATCCATATGTGGCTAACTGTTATACTTCAAGATTGTGCTCACCCATTAATTTT